GATGTCCAAGATTGGGAATGAAGCTTCACTGCCCAAGCCTCAGGCCTGCGGCACAACAGTCATGATAGCATGTGCTTGCAATCCCGGCATTTGAGAGATGGGAGCAGGAGGATCAGAAGTTCAAGGTCAACCTTAGCTAGTCTGGGCTACATGACACTGTCCATTTTTAAGCTAGAGGTCGAGGTGACTAGATTTGTTGTTGGAAGTATCTCTTTGGCTTCTGTATGAAAGAAACAGTAATTAGAATAGATGAGCAGGATTCCAACTGTCCATGCAAAACTCAGGGTCACTGCCATTTTGGCAAGCTTCAAGGGACTCTTGGGTCAAGGCCTCCAGTGGGTGTGGCTTCCCTGGCCCTGCTCCCCTTGTCTTAGAACAAGTCAGTTATAAGATCCCCAATTCTCTTAATTAAGACATTGAATACCTAGAGGTCATAGAGAAGCTTGGTTCTTCTCCATAGATTCTCGACTGAATAGTGAGAGGGGGGGATATAGAGTGGCAGGGAGGGTCTTTAGACCTCTGGGATGTGGGGCGTGCTGGTGCTTTCCTAGGATGAAACCATAACATACCAGCAGTGAGGAAGGCCCCACATCCCAGCAAAGAGACAGAGCGCACACTGGGAAAGGAGAGAAAGCAAAAGGGTCACTGGGGGCTGAGGGAGGACAGGCAAAGCATCAGAGAAATCCAGGTTTGTACCATTCAACTAGCTAGGCAAGTTCCTCAAGATCTGCATCTCAGTCTCCATCTCCATGAGATGGGTCGTGTCCGTGCTGCCTGATCCAGTCATGCGACTCTAACGGGGTGATGTGTGTGAACTGGCCAGTATGGAGCCTGGCAATCCAGTCATGCGACTCTAACGGGGTGATGTGTGTGAACTGGCCAGTATGGAGCCTGGCAAAAAAAAAAAAAGGTGCCCAATAAAGGCTGGTTTCTTTCCTCCCTGGTAGGGAGCCCCAGGGCTCCAGCAAGATGCTATTGTGGGCTAACATGGAGGACTATGGTCCTCCATCACCGCCAGCCCCAGAAAACAGTTTCTGCGCATTTCCTCCTGGCCAGAAAGAGGATAGAAGGGAGGAGAAGAGCATTTATCACGGAGGGTTCCTCCCCAGGTGTCGTCTTAGGCAGCAGTGGCTCCTTCCAGCCAGGAACTGCACTTCCCTGCCAGCTTTGGGACCATGTTAAAAACACAAACACCAAACACTAGCAAAGCCCCAGAAGGCAAAAGAAGAATATCCTCACGACCTTGGGGCAGGCAAACATTTCTAGGCAGGTGATAATGTTAATCATAAGTGCATCAATCAGACTTCCTCAAAAATAAGGATTCTTGGCCATTAAAGACATTGTTAGTAAGAAGAGAAGTCAAATTATATCCTGTGAGAAAATAACAGTAATCCATAGATCTGGCAAAGACTTTCATCTGAACATATAAAACGTGCCTTGCCTACAAATGAACAATAGAAAGGCAACCCAACTGCTGTTTCTTCTGGGTTGGACATGACCACTGCTGTCTTGAACTAGAGCAAGTGTGATTACCAGCAAGAGACCTCACAGAAGATGGTGCCTCAAAACAGACCCTCCTGGGGAGGCTGGGGGGGTGGTTAACAGGCTCTGCCCTCTCCTGGGTATATGAGGGTTGATTAGAGATGGAAAACTCTGGCTTATAACCTGCTGAGAGGTACCCAGCGTGTTGGTATGGCATGCTCTAGACACTTCCTGGAGACATTAGCTGCCTTTGAGTCACCCATCTCTTTAAGGAAGCTGGACAAACTGGTTCACCCATTTAGACTTGGGTAGAATCCTTTCTTGGATCAGGTGGTGCCCTCTTCATTAGAAGAGGCAGCAGGTGGGATGGTTTGGGAAATAAGCGCCACAAAATCCCCTTCAGGAATGAGATTCATTAGGAGTGAGACCTTCACAAAGGATCTGTGACCAAAGCTTGAGGTGGGGTAGTCCTTCATATTAGAGATGATATGTTGGAGCCTTGAAGGACTTTAAAGGGGCTTTAGAAAGAGAGATGACTCAGAGAGAGGGAAGAGGGGAAAGGAAGGGAGAAAGGGAGGGAGAGAGAGAACAAGTGAGCTACCATGGACAACATGACAGGGGGGGGGGGCAGAGAGGAGCCTTCCTTGAGTAAAGGAAAGTATCTGACTTGTATATCAGGGGTGTTGGAAAGTTCCACACCACACAGTTTCTGGGATGGCCTACATAACAAAGAGCAAGGAGGAGCAAGGTACTGGATTGGCCTGTAGTTTATGGGTTGTGGCATCACACAGAACGTCTTAATTCTCTGTCTCAGAGAGCACTGCAGTGGGGGTTTGGCTTGATTTCTTCAGGCTGCAGGATTTGGTCAGCTTAGAGCGCCCAGTATCTGCAGGGGGCGGGTTCAGGATCTAAGTCTTTGTATCTGAGGTGAGTAGATGTTGTAGAAGATTATTTTAAGGTGTGTTACTTCTGTTTATGCTGCATTTGTTTAACTCTGTGAAGCTGTGGTTCTTTGCCTGCCTAAAATATGTGATGGCCTAATAAAGAGCTGAATGGCCAATAGCAAGGCAGGAGCAAGGATGGGTGGGGCTATCAGGCAGAGTATAAATAGGAGGAGAACCCTGGGAAGGGGAGGAGCAAGTTAGAACAGAGAGAGGATGAAGTCAGGGGCCAGCCACCCAGCCAGTCATGGAGTAAGAGTGAAAGTAAGATATATAGAAGTAAGAAAAAAAAATAGCTCACAGGCAAAAGGTAGCTGGGATAATTTAAGTTAAAGAAAAACTAGCTAGAAACAAGCCAAGCTAAGGTCGAACATTAATAAGAAAGAATAGGACTTGGTGTGTGATTTATTTGGGAGCTGGGTGGTAGGCCCTCTCCCCAAAAGCCAAAAGAGTAAAAACAACCAACAACAAGTAGACATTTCTTTATGTCTCCCTGGGAAAAGTCACAGGGACCAATTAAAATGGGAACAACTTGAACGATTCTTCACTTAGAATGACACAGACAGGCTTACTAAACACCGGCGGTTCTCAGTGTATCAGTCACTCGGGGGGTACACATGAAGACCATGTATGCTGAGGCTATACTCCCATAGCAAATGTCGGCATGGCTACCGGACAGCCTGAACGGCCCACACAGGAGGCGCCAGTGCAAATTTACTACAATCTTGGAAAACTGGCAGTTTCTCTGAAGAAAACATACGACTATCCCACAACTCCAAGATTTCATTTCTAGATACTTCCCCAGGGGAGGTGAGGACAGAGCTACAAAAAGATTTGCAAAGTAATGTATACTGCAGTCTTATTTCTCACGGCTCAAACCTAGAAACAACCCCAAAAGGAAAATGTAGACCAAGAGCCACCAGGTCACAACAAGAAGCACCTCAAATTATATTCAGCAAAAGAAAACAGATCAAAAATTGGGCTATGGTTCCTTTAATGTGACGTTCCAGAAGAGGGGAATTCCTTCTGTGCTCACAGAAACCACAACAGAGCTCGAACTGAGGCAAGGGTGGAGCTGATAGCAAAGGAAAGAGAACTTGGGGACTGGGGAGCTAGGCTGTATCTTGACTAAGGTTGTGGTTACATCGCTGTGGGCATTAAAGGGCCCGTTTAGGATTTGTCCATTTTATTGAATTTTTAAAAATAGCCTTGTGACTGACTTCTCAGACTTTCAGGGGTGTTGCCTAGACCTTCAAAGGGGTGACTTCATTTTGGGGACTAAGCATGAGCATCCAGACCAGGGAAGCAAGAGGCAGACCCAGGAGGCCAGAGAGACCCACATGGCCAATTTACACAGCATAGTTTTGCCTCTCTGAAGTATGTGCTGTTGTGTATTTATAGTGTGTCTTCATGCGTGTGCGTGTGTGTATGTGTGTGTGCACATATTGCATGTGTGTCCACCCATATGCCACACCATACATGTAGATGTCAGAGAACAACCTGTGGGAACTGTTTCTCTCCTTCCATCATGTGCGTCCTGGGGATGGACCTCTGGTCACTAGGCTTGGGGACAAGCGTGTTTGCCAGCTGAGCCATCTCACCAACTTAGGTAAAAACTATGACTACAACCTAATCTGTGAAGCTCCAAGGGTGACAAGAGACACACGTAGCATTATACCTGGGGTCCCCCAATTCCAAGCCCCTGACATTTTCCGTGAGTGTCTCTAGGAGTTGTTCTGTAAGAGCCTCAAGGCTTGCTTCAGGGCTACAGCTTGAGCAAGGCCAGAGGGATAACTTTGCCTGTCCAGACCCCATACCCGCTCCTGCGCCTCGGCATGACCTCTTGTTGGATGTCTTATTTCCAGGCACAAGTGGGCTTTCTAGTTCCCTCTCTCAAAAGTTTTCCTAACCTTCACAGGGCCACACCATTGGCAACTTTTTTTGTGTAAATCCCTCCAGGCTTGGCATGAATTGCAGGCTTGGAAGATGCTCTGCCCACACACAGGTCACTGGAAAAACCATGTAGATGCCCGGCCTTGAGTGCTGGGCCCTGAGGACTTCTTGAGCAGCACACATAGGTCATCATAGCAGAGAAAAAGGTCCAGGCTCCTCTTAGCCAAAACACCTGTTTCCTGGAGGAAGGCTGAGCCCCAGTGAGACATGATGTCATTGGTTTTTTATCACATCTCAGTGAGGCAGCCTTTCTGGGGAGGAGATGGGAAAATAGAGCCCTGCCGCTTTAATTGGGAAAAGAAACAGAATCTCCAGTCATCTGGGTCAGATGCCCATGTTTCAGAAATAAAGCCCTCCTGTCTGAATTACCCGGGCCATTGCTGCCAGGGAGGAACAGAGCAGCTTTAGCGGGTTCTTTCCACGGAATTTTCTGTCAAATAAAAATGCTGAATTTCTTTAAGGCGCCATCTAAATGAAAGTTATTGTGGCTGATGAGAAATAAAATACTTAATTGCTAGGTAAAACAGATGAAAAATTCCTTTACTCACAAGGAAAACAGCAAAATATAACACATTCATATAAAATCTTCAAAAATATTTATTATTGTGCAGTGTGAACTCACATGACGTATGTGTGTGTGCAGGTGTGCATCTGGGCCACAGCACATGTGTAGCGGTCAGAGGACAACTGTGAAGTCAGCCGTCTCCTCTGCGTATGTTTCCGGAGATCAAGCTGACATCACCAGGCTTGCACAGTGGCCTCCTCTATCTCCTGAGCCATCTTGCTAGCCCTACATGATTCGTTCATATCTATTCATCAATTGAAATAATTGTTCTATCTTATTTGTTTAAAAATTAAACATTTAAAAATTAAAAATTTTAAAATTAAATGAACTAACCAGGCAGTGGTGGTGCAGGCCTTTAATCCCAGCACTTGGAAGGCAGAGGCAGGTGGATCTCCGTGAGTTCGAGGCCAGCATGGTCTACAAGAGCTAGTTCCAGGACAGCTAAGACTGTTACACAGAGAAACCCTGTCTCGGAAAAAAAAAAGTGATGGGCTAGTATGGGGGCATATGCTTGCGATTCCAACCTGGGCAACAAGGTAAGGTTTGTTGTCTTGAAAGAAAATACAAGGAGATAAAATAAATTCTAGGTGATAATTGTTATATTCTCTGCCTTTTACACAGACTTATCACCTTGGTTTTAAGTGAGGGCATATTTATTTTGTCTATTTAAAGTTTCATTAACAAAATACATGCACACTGTTAAACATTAAACAGTACCAAAGGCTTCATTGAGTTGGCGCAAGGATAGCTTAGTGGGTAAAGTGGTTTGGCACCACCCCTGGCAACCTGAGTTCAGTCCTCATAGCCCACATGGTGGGGGAAGAGAACAATTTCCCACAAGTTGTTTCTATCTCTGATTTTTGGGAGTTACAGACCCTGAATTTTCTGTGACCCCTTGCCTGCCGAAGTAAACAACTGGTTTTCCTGTGCTTGCAGCTGCTCTGGGCACGAGACCCTCATGGGTTCCTGATGGCAGGGGAGTGGTTTCTGGTGGGCTTGCAGCTGAAAATCCCCGAGAGCTAGGGTGTGGCTATTAGTCAAGGAGAGCCCTATATAAGCTGCCCTGGAACACAATAAAATTGACATTCTTGTTTCAAGGATCTCTCTCTCTCTCTCTCTCTCTCTCTCTCTCTCTCTCTCTCTCTCTCTCTCTCTCTCTCTCTCTCTCTCTCTCTCTCTGTGTGTGTGTGTGTGTGTGTTTCAATCTCCAGCCCCTTGCCTGACTCGTGAACCATCCTGTAGTACAGGCATTACAGTACATCTGATCACATATGGTGACATGCACACACACACACACACACTAAATAAATGTAGAAATAAAAAAATTTAAATTAATACCAAAGATATAAAATGAAATCTCGTGTCCTCTTGTACCCTAACAATCTCCCAAAGCTCCCAAAGCTCTACTTTGGTAGGGACAGTACAGGGAAACCCAGTGATACCCGGTGGCTTTCTCAATGAAACTAAGGCGTCAGGGGGATGAGGTATTTGCCCTGCCTGTTCTACAGACAAGATAAAAATGTCCTGGTTTCTTAAGCTTCTCTGATTTCAAACTGCAGAATACGACCTCCGGCAAAAGTGAACAGGTTGTGGGTGCACAGAAATTCCTTGTCACAAAGTATACACACATGGTCACCACAGCCCAGGTCAGGACATGGAGCCCACCTGGTGTCTCAGAGGTCCCTTCCATATGCCTCAGAGGTGACGGCTGTCAGCACAACCTCCATAGGCGGGTGCTGTCTTTTCAGACGCAATCATTACGCTCTCCTGCCAGCATTTCTGTGAGGTTGGCGCCGGTGGTTACGGATGGCTGCAGTTACTGAAGGGTCCGTGTACGTCTTTCTCCATGACAGTCTGTCCTTTCATGGCTAATGGACAAGGAAGTTGCTCCTTGCATTGGCTATTGTAAAGAATGCTGATAAGGCGTCTGGTGGAATATGTAACGTGTCCGGCATGTGGGGGACATGTATGGATTCAACTCTATCAGGAAATGACAGTTGGCTTTCTGAAAAGATGCTAACTTACATATGCACGGTCACGCAGGGCGTTTCCATTGTTCCATGTCTTTTTCACTGTTTGGTACTGACAGTCATCTTGATGTTAGCTATGTTGGTGGGTGGGGCGTGCCACACCAATGTGGTCTTGATTTAGATTTCTCCAGTGACTAAAGGGAACGAGCACCCTTCAATTTTCATGCTAAGCAGTGGGATAATTTTTTTTTAAAAAGCTTGAGAATGCTTCTTTTAGAGTTTAACTTTGAAAACAGAACAAACAACAACCCCAGGGCAGGCAGGACGTGAATCTTTGCAGATGCCTGGAGGGATAGAGTGGAGAAGAAAATGGGGAAAGCCATGACGCATGAGTGAAGCCGTCGTGAAGACCACATGGCATAGCGGGAACTCTAGAAAGAAGAATGAAGGTCCAGAGTGTAGGAAAAACACGCTAGGACGGGGGTAGAGAGAAAAAGAGAAAAGTTATGCTTTTCGGAGTATTTCAGAAAAGAAGGCAGACATAAGAAACTGCGTGTCTGCTCTTTCCCTGATCTGCCCCTCTTTAGCTGCGCTGCTCTACCTCGTTCTGGGGAGAGGCTCCGCCAGACCTGCTGAGCATCGTAGCTGTGCCTGCAGCGTGCGCAGAGCCGAGGCTGACAGACAGCAGGGAGGTGAGACTGAACCAGCCAGCATCGTCTTCCTTCATCTTCAGGAGCTGTGGTTGCAACCGTGAGGAAAGTTGGGGTCCGGTTTTGCTGTACCCCTTAGAACAAGGATCAAGAGAAGGCAGTCTCCATGAATAAGCCAGAGCTGCTTTCCTGCCTCCCCATACCCGCTCCTCAGGCCCAGCACCGCTCTTGGCTGTTCTGGATGAGTCCCCTCCAGGACCTCCACACTACAAGCCCAGCGCTTCCCCGAACCTAGCATCTTCCGCCTTCACCTGCCTCAGTTTCTCTGTGGCGTCACTCTCACAGCCTAGCCCCGTCCTACCCATCCCTGGAGAGCTAAGAGCAGACGACAACCATGCTGACACTTGAGAAAGTGGGTGTCACTCGATACTTAGATGTTATGGACATTTGATCTGTTTCAGCCAAAGACATTCGGGGTAACTAGCCCTATGCGCATGGTTTTCTCTGGATATGGGACCGAATAAATCTGAGGAGGAGGCCCCCTCTCTCTCTGTGTCTGTCTCTCTCTCTCTCTTTCTCTCATGGTTGGAGCAGAAGCAAGACTTGTGGTTGGTCCTCATCGCCCAAGGGCAGAACATCAGGGCAACTGTAGCTGGATCAGAAGCAGCGTCTACCTTGTTCTGTATTCATGATCTGTTTTTCCATTGCGCCCCCTAATAAATTATTGGCCAGACTTCGTGGTTATTGCTTCATTAAGAACTTACTATGGGTCAGGTCCCACCCTTGGCCCAGGACACAGGCAAACAAAAAAGGGTTGGCCAGCAGGGCTCACAGTTGGGGTGTCCTCACACATACCAAATACATCGTTGGCATGCATTTCAGTGACTGGGGTGTGTGTGTCCGTCACAGGGAGGTGCTGTGCCCCTCCAGGTATTCAGGCTGCAACAGCTGGCCTAGGGGTGAATACACAACGTGAAGGAGTTCAAACGAGGTGCTGGGGACCTGCAATACAGTTCTTTGGTTTAAGGTTTCTTAATGCTTTTGCAGAGAAACATTGCTATATTAATAAACACACAAAATGATTAGAATGCACATAAACTCTTTTTAGGATAAAAAAGTACAAACTCAAGAAATTACGATAGCCTCCAGGGGCCTTTGAATGTGAGTCTTCACCTGTGGTCTTAGGGCAATGAAAACTATCAGAGAAGTCACGACATTCTTGGCCAATGAGCATTCGCGGCATACTGATGAGGTAGGTGTTACTAGGCCTACAGGGGAGAACACTGAGGCCCAGTCATGGTATAGAAAGCTCGAGTTCCATGGTTAAGAAACCACAGAATCAGCAAGAAATCTGTGTAAAGTCCACACCCTTCTTACAGTGTGTAGTGCGTACAACAGGGGAGGATGTGGAAGGGTCAGGCTGGTGCTAAGTCGTGAATAGGCGTGGGCACCGGATGAGCGGTCCAGTGCAGAAGATGGCCATGACCCACAGAAGCTGAGCCTGCAGGGTCACGACATGAAGTAAGTGCATTGAGGGCCGCTGTGATGGGGTTGCTGCCATCCAAGGTCTTATCACCAATGTAGAGAGACAGCGGTCCTCAGCACTGGTATCACTCCCGTGGCCCGAGAAAGCCCCGTCTCAGCTGTCCGTGTTCTACAGTGACAGCCTGTTCTCAGAGTGAACAACACAGGAAGCATGACACCACCATAGCTTCTCCCAAGGTGGCCTCACCATCGAGGAGGCAGGCAGTATGCAAGAGAATGGGAGGAAACCGTGTTGTTGGGCCCAGAAGGACATCGATGGGGAGTGGGAAACTTGAGAGGCAGCTGCGGCTTTCCATCATTTTCCATTAGGAGGTCAGTGGCACAGAACATCTGTTGACATGAACACTAAGAGATTGATGATGTTCTCATGGACAGAAAACAACCTCTGGGGACGACCCCCATACGGTTGAGCACGTACAATGTGCAGAGTTCTCCCTGACACTTGGAAATGGCTCTTTCCACTAGAAAATGGTTGTTACAGTTTGCAACGGAATGGTACCGCTTCTCTTCTTCCCTTTTTCTTCCTTTAGTATGCACCCAGAGAGTTTATTGAGAAACCAGTCAACATCCTGGAGGTCCTCAGGCCATCTCAAGTACTGTTGCTTTTGAAGAAACCCTCTGATGGTCTCATGTCTCATCAGCTGATACTGGGACAGGGACCCCACCACCACCACGACGAGAACATTCTTGAGGTCAGACAGGCACCGGCTCTGGGCGTACCTGAAGGCTTCCAGACACCAGCCATCCTTAAGGAATTGTCTGCTCACTAGGCACACGGTCTTTCTGCTGCCCCAGACAGCCGCCTGGATGTTTGAGATGTGGTTTTCCCCGGGGATGAAGTCTCTCTCTTCGAAGCACAGCCTGAGTCTGTTTCGGGAACTATACTGGGCATCCAGGTGTTTGAGCAGAGCATTCTGTGCCCATTCGAAGTCTTTGCTACTGAAGCAAAAGTAGGCATCGTATTGGTATGCACTGGGTTCCGAACTCCGGACCTTGTCCTTGAACACCAGTCTCTGAATGTTCTTATAACACAGGAAACAAGTCCCCCGGAACTTTATGAACGTGAAGGTGGTGACGAGGAGCAAGGACAAAGTGACAGTGCACAGGACGAAAAGGGAAAACTTTATGGACTGCAAGACTTCCTCTTCATCACACTCCTTGGTGGAGACGTCATAAAGGGAGACCCCTACCAGCGAGTCAGGGTACATGCAGTATATGTCTGCAGGAGAGCCCTGCAGGGTGACATTGGTTTGGTTGAGCCAGGTGATGAAAGGGATAAGTTCACACTGGCAGACGAACTCGTTATGCGTTATGTCCAAGGAGCTAAGTGAAGCAAACAACCCAGGATCAGGAGAGAAGAGCTGATTTCTAGATATATCAAGAAACTCTAGAGTAGCAGGTAAGCTGCCAGGAGAGAGAGAGGTCAACCTGTTAGCGCCAAGATTGAGCAACTGTAACGAAACCAGGTCGCTAAATATTCCAGGAGGGAGGAAATTAAGGTAGTTACTATTCAGGTACAGGACTTGGAGGTGGAAAAGGCCTTTGAAAACATCCCAGCAGAGGCCGGTCTCCCAGGCAAGCTGCAGCATATTTCCTGCCAGGAAAAGATGTTCCAAGCTCAGGTTCTCGGAAGGGGTATAGACTGCCTTGCAGGAGGACAGGCGATTCTGGTTCAGGATGAGGGACCGAAGCTGGGGAACTTGCAGGAGGAAGTAGAGGTCGGACAAATCTTCCAGTTTGTTCTCGGATAATTCGATGAAGTTGGCTGTAAAGCGGACGCGTGGCAGATCGACCAGCTTATTGCCACCCAGTAAGATGGTCAGGATGCTTGGAATGAAATTGATGGTTTTAAGAGCATTATCGCGGAGATCCAAGGTTTGTAAGTTCTCCAGGGATCTGAACGTTTGGTATTGAATGATCCCAATATGGTTCTTTTGAAGGTCAATGTAAGCGATTCTAGGTAGCCCGTAGAAGTTGGAATTATAAAGTTCTCCCAAAAGATTACATGACATAGTGAGAACTTGGAGATTGTCAAGTCCATAAAACGCATCATCTGAGATCTTGTTTATCTTGTTGGAGGCAAGGTTCAGAAACTTCAAATCTTTCAGCGTCTCAAACACTCTGGAATTCAAGGAGAAGATATAGCCATGCGAAAGGTCCAGGAACATCACCGAACTTCTAGCCAGGCCAGCAAACGTGTTCTGGTCAGGGTTTCTGATGTTCTGGAAGCCAAAGCCAGACCCCATTATGTGGTGCATAAGAATCAAAGAGGTGACTTGGCTTCCCCGGATGACATTGCTAAAGTTGCCTGTGATGTCCACTGTCCAACCATTTTCAGAGAGGTCTAGAGTTTCCAGCCACATGCCTCTGAAGGGGTTCCTGCAAGTCTCCCAACTCACAGAGACTCTGCTGAACAGGCTTGTTGATTTGAGGCCAAAGAAAGAGAGTATTTTACCCTGCAGGGGCTTGAGTTCATCCTCACATAAAGGGAATATTTTATTGAAAGAAAAATCTATGGCTTTTAAGGAATTCAGTTCCTGAAATGAAGAATGGAGATGAAGGCTGTAAATCTGGTTGCCAGAGAGGTCTAAGCGAGCCAATGAAGTTAGATTTCTGAAGTAACCATCTCTTAGCACAACACTGGAGAGCTCACAGGAAAACAGTCGAAGTTCCATGAGATGGGGAAGTCCCTGAAAAGCGTCTGGACTCAAGACTTCAATGTGGTTTTGGCCCAGGTCCAAGATCCTCAGATTGGGCAGGTTTCTGAAGGCCTCCCGGCCGATGGTCATGGATGTAAACTGGGTTCCCAGCTCCAGCAGCAGGAGCTGCCCCAGGAATGGAAATGACGTGGCGTTGACCACACTGATGTAGTTGAAGCTGAGAAGGAGCCTCTCTGTGGTGTCGAGGACCCAGGGGATCTGGGTAAGGTTACAGTGGCGAAATAAGGCGATCTGGCCATTGGAAGAACAGGGAGACATTCCCAGCATGGGGCTGGCCATGAAGATCACACTCAAAAGAAGGTCAAGCTGATCTGCCATGATCTATGGGGAAAGAGCAGAATAAAAACACATCACAACCTGAGGGTCTGCACCCGGGTTCTCGGCACTTGAGGGTTTCCTGTGTGATGTGGTTGTTCCTTGGGGCCCTTCGCTCAGCTGACTCCACAAACACTCTGCTGGGCCAGAGAGAGCCACTCACTCTTCTTCTCAAACACTCGCTACGGCATACTTTACACACTGGGCACCAGTGCTTTAAAGACACTGTGAGCTTGGGAGGTTGCTCAATGCTAGAGGACTTGCCCAGCATGTCCCAGGTTCAAGGTCTCCTCTCCAACACCAAACAAACAACAACAACAACGCTGTTACCTACTCAGGGTTTGTTCATTAGTTCCAGAGCTGCGGAGGGAAGGTGAGAATCATAGGGATGAGATATTTTTACTTCTGTTCATCCAGGGGCTCCCCATTCCTTACTCCCAGAACCTCAGCTCGCGAACAGATCATAAACACATCACTTTCCCTACTGCATTCTAGCCAGATTGTAGCCCACCCCCCAAAGATCTGAGCTAGCTGGATGCGCTATGCGTGCCATCTTACAGGCACTGAGTACCTAATGTATCGTCATAAAGAATCAGATTTGGTCAGCTTGATGCGGTGGACTGTGCACCTGTTGCACGCCTGACACAGTATGACACACCTACCTGCTGAAGCTCGGTGCAGGTGATTTAGCATCCATCCGTGTGCCTCAGCAGCAAAGGGTGTCTCACAGACCTGTCTGTCATGTGTTCCAAGCATAGGTGCTGTGTGAGAACAGGAAACATTAACAAGGATCTCAGAAAGTTTAACATTTTCTGCGGTGGTCTGAATAAGAACGGCCCTCACAGGCTCAGATACTTGAACATTTAGTCACCGGAGAGTGGAACCCTTTGAAAGGATTAGAAGGATTAGGAGGAATATGCTGGAGAAAGTGTGTCACTGGGAGTGGGCTTTGTGGTTTCAAAATTCCAGGCCAGGCCCAGTCAGTCTCTCTTTCTCGGCCTGTGAATCAGAATACAGCTCGCTACTTCTCCAACACTGTGCCTGCTGTGTCTGCCACCATGTTCCCACCATAATGATAGTGTACTAAGCCTCTGGAATAAGCCCCCATTAAATACTTTCTCAGAGATGCTATGGTCGTAGTGTCTCTCCGTGGCATTAGAACAGTAACTAAGACATCTTCCAAGTGCATGGCTCTTCCATCTTTAGAACACATCTCACGTGCTGTCAATGGCTCCCACCAAAAGCCGCCACTGAAAGGTTCTGTGTTCTAGAAAGTATTCCCCACTGGGCCTGGGTATTAAAGGATTGATTGTCATCCTATGACTCCCGTGGGAGGTAGCAAAGCCTTTAGGGGGTGGGGCTTAGTGGGAGGAACTTAGGTCACCGAGGGTGTGCTTTTAAAGGGACACTGGCCTCTTGTACCATCCCTTGAGCCATGCATCTCTCTTCTTGCAGATTCCTGTTTGCCCTGCCTAGACTTGCCATCATGCTGCTGTGCCTGCCAACTTCAAGTGTGCACACATCCTTTCTCCCCTGCGGCTCTGGCCATCACCCAAAATAAGTCCTGGCTGGTAGAGCAAGTCTAGAGAGGGAAGACTAGAATCCACCAGGAGAGAGAAGGCCAGTTTGAGATGAGATACAGGAGGCAGCTACTGAAATGGACCCCAAACAAAGCTCCATCTCTCTTGGCATGCAACCCCAAGACTGTTCTAGAGGCTGGTGGAACCCTGAAAAGCAGATTGAAGGAATCCAGTGTGAAACGTACGTCTGTTGAGTGGTACCTAAAATGAAGACTCTGAAGATGCAGTTCAGTGGAGAGAAGAATGCGCAAACCAGGGTTGGAACCCACATAGGAAAAGAAACAAAATGGCGGATCCGACAGTGGGAAGTGGGGTCTACTGTGGCCTCCAAAGCTTGCCAGAGTATGGCCTCACTGCCCACACCCGAGGAGGCCACAGTGCTCTACTGCGCAGTTGGATCACCTGGCAGCACACAGCCTACTGTAGTGCCCCTCATACGGTTTATTCTGTGGTGTGCATCTGTACAGTGCATGCAGGGAGTGTAAGGTTGTGGACACCCATGTGCGTGCTGGCAGAGGCCAGGGCAGGATGTTGGGTGTCTTCCTCGATCACGCTCTGCCTTACTGCCTTGGGGCAGAGGCCCTCACAGAACTGGAAGCACACTGTTCTGACTTGCCCAGCCACCCAACAAGTTTTCAGGGTCTCTTCAGCCCCCATTCCCAAGCATCGGGGCTACAGGCACAGGCCACTATGCATAGCTTCTTCACAGGCATTGAGGTCTTACTTTGGAAATCTGACAGTTCTGAGACCTTACCCTCCCTTGGCATCACAAACCCAACACTGAGCCCAGACTCAGAGCCCACCTCTTTTAATGTGATGTAGAAGGCCTTCCATACACATGGAAACGATCACTGTGGTTCATAGGCTGGGGGTGGAAACACTGTGTGCACAGGGCTAAAGGGTAAGGGTGTTAGGCTGTGCAGTCTAAACACAGACCACAGTTTGCTGGCCTCTGTTCTAGAAGGTAAGAGAACAGAAACTCCGACCCCACCAATCAGGGTTTTTAAGCGACTCTAAGATAAATACGGTGTTGAGACACAAGAAGGTGCAGGAAAGAGCTTGTGTGGTCCCCAAGTCACTGCTGGCTTTGCAGCTGTTATTTACCCAAACATCAGGCTGATTTCTCATCTTATGTAACCGGATGGAGAAATTCCCTCGGAGACACCAGTGTGAGGATGCCAGCTCAGAAAAGCACAGTTAAATGTCTTCGTTTCAGTTCTGATTTTGACAAGATCAGTGTTGGTCCCCAGGTACGACTGCTGAACTCGATGACCTTGAATTTCTGGTAATGAGTGACAGCCCTAAATAACACACATTTCAAGATATTTCAATTTCCAGATTCACAAGAGAAGCTAAAATTATAGTAAGGAAGATGAAACCAGCTGAACAAGTAGATTTTAAACAAAACTCTTTTGGGCACATGTTCTAATTACAAAGATATCATGCAGACCTAAGTCTTTAAGAGGGATGGAATAATTCTATTTTTACCTCTGAAGCAGATCTCTGGTGAGAATGACTGGCAGGACAGGTGAGCCGGGGAGCCAGCTAAGCAGCGAGATGAGGTGTTGGGAGAGGCTCATGCTGAGAGCATGTGGGAGCCAGAAGCTCAAATGTGTGGATGTAAAGACATCCAACACCACCAAGGCAAACCTAACTAAAGCTGAGTGCCAGACTCTCATGCTCTTCCTGACTCCGACTTCAGAATGTAGAGATTCCAGGAAGGAGTCCACACAGCAAGAGATGGGCTCTGAGGACGGAGTAGTGTGGGCGTGGGACCTGAGAAAAGCAAGTGACTGAAGCCACACCCCTAAGTGGGTGACCCCAGAAGGGAGCAAGGTCCTGCACGTGGGTGGAGAGCCCAAGGGAAGCAGGGGAGCCATGGCCACTTGCTTCTCTGTAGGTTGAGGGGCTGGACCCTAACCTTCAGGGAATCCTTTCTGCTTCTATCAGACGAGTCTGCCCTCTAGTGGTTACCAAGAGCAGAGCGCGGAAAGGAAGAAAGGCAGACAAACTTCAGGGGCAATGTGTTCACGACTCATTATCCAGATGACAAAAAGAAACACATGAAGTGGGTTCCATAGTTAGGAGTCTCTGGTGACATATGCATTCTCTGTTCATAGAGGAAGAGCATGCATAAGGTCTTGGGTTCGATCCTCCACCCACCACAAACACCCACTCAAGACAAGTCATTGCACTGCAACTGGGTGTGGTGGGGCCTGCCTGTAACCCTAGAACTCCAGAAATGGAGGCAGAGAATCGAGTGTACAAGGCCGAGTTCCACAGTCAAGCCTTATCTCAAACAAAACCAAAAACCACTGCCAAAGTCATACACTTTACTCCCAGGATTTATAGGAGAAGCAAGGTGAGAGTATAAGGCTTGAAGGATTCATCATCAGCACACACAAAAAGGATAGGGATAAAATAAAAATGGTATGTGGTTAGCCTACTCAATTGAACAAGAGACCCATTAATAGTCTGATATACAGGGTACTCGGCTTTGGAAAAGACCTGAGGTTTGCTGGTGGAAGTGGGTACCAGGAGGGTTTCAGTCACTACATTATTATGAGATGGTGGGAAGTGGGGAGGCTGTCTGGTATCAGGGGGAAAATCTGAACGCCAACTATAGATGCCTGAGGCCCCAAACACACGGAGAGTGGATGCAGCTGACAGACACCAGGGTGTAGTTTGTGTCCTCGTAGGTGGCTTAGTTCAGCTTGGTGCAGCTTTCTGTCTTTACGTATAAGAAATTGCACATAAGGAAAAAATGAACGAGGTATTTCTAATACCAAGGGTTTTTATTGTGTTTTGTTGCTATTGATTGAACTCATGGCCTTGGGCATGTTAGGCAAGAGCTTTCCCACTGAACTATATCCCCAGTCAAGCTCTCTAATACATCAATAATATTCCCAAATATATCAATTTTCTTAGGAACAAGTTCATATTTTGAAACAAGCATTATAATTCAGTGACGGATGGAGGATTCTGGTTTTGTAAACAGTTTCACCCCCTGCACTGAACAGTCGGATGGACTTGGGAACCAATCATGCAGACTCAGCTTCAGGGAGAGGGGAGGACCAGGGTCCTTTCTCCAGCCCTAGTGTCCTTAGGGTTCACTTAGAGACTGGCCACGATGAACAGTCCTCAACCTGGTTACATGTTAGAATCCCTGTAGTCTGGAGACCTGTGAGGTCTGGGCCTCCCTACGCCTATTCAGTGAGATACTGAAGATGGCGCATTCTCAAAATTCTGTATTTTTAACAGATGTGAAAATTGTAGATACACTCCGGCCCATAAGTCATTGGCATATATCAATAATCGTTGAATTTGCTAACTCCTTGAAATCACCTGGGGTCTGAGCCTAGGTCCCGGCAGAGAAAGGCTGGTCTTAGCTGACCTAGCAGGCATGTCTGACATAAACACAGCCCACAGTTCCCATGCAGTCAAAGAGAGCCAGGAATGCTGCTCAACAAAAAAACTGTAAACTTACACTTTAAAAATACGAGATCATGTTTGCTCAATTTATTTTCTTTGTGACTTGATCGCAAGGTTCTTGACACTATGTTGCAATGTTAAAAGGTTGGACATCCCTAGGAGGGTGAGGCATGGGCCCCTGGAGTTCTTAGCTCTCAACAGGTGACTCCAGGCACAGACTGTTTGATCAACTGCTCCTTTGGCTGCAACCCTGACTCCACCTCAACCATAAGGTGCATGGGAATACCATGAATCCTAGGATTTCTAATGCCAGAGAGGTTCACAATAGCTGAGGCAAGAATAAACCAAGAAACAGCAAGAGCAAACCCAGGATTGTGTGTACAACTCAGCCTTAAAAAGGAATGGAAGTCCTATTATTATTATTATTATTATTATTATTATTATTATGTGTGTGTATTGCACACATAAGTCACAGAACCACTCCATGAAGTCACTTCTTTGCTTCTACTTTCACATGGGTTCCAGGGACCAACCTCAGGTACCTGCTGAGTCATCTCTCCAGTCCCAGAGAAATAAAACTGGGACATATGCTACAACATGGATGGATTTTTTGTTTGCTTTTGAGACGGGGTTTCTTTGTATAGCCCTGGCTATCTTGGAACTATCTCTGTAGACCAAGCTGGCTTTGAACTCACTGAGATCTGCCTGCCTCTGCCTCCCGAGTGCTAGGATTAAGGCATGTGCCACCA